GAGGAGGAGGAGGAGGAGGAGGAGGAGGAAGAAGAGATGGTTGAGGAGAAGAAGGAGGAAGAGGATAAACGGAGATGCTGAGGGGGGTCAACAACGATAAGCAGGAGCGAGAGAGGCGGAAAGAGTAGCTCAAAGGGGCCGCCGCGGGGTCCAGAGGGCCTTGTGAGAAGGCGCAAACCCCAATAATAGCACCAGAATTTATATACCTGCACGAACTCGGTGGAGAACGGTCCCGCGGCTGGAAGGGTCCGCCGACCCAGGGACGGCTCATTGGATAATACTCTGGCGCTCCTGGACAATACTTTCAGCGATGTTCGCGAGTCCGTTTTCATCTCGGCATTCGGTAACTTTGAACGTCATAGGCTATACGTGAAATGGTCGGACGATGTGTCTACAACTTTGATCGTCGTAGGATTTATGACTCTTTGAAAATAAAAGAAATCGTGAAAAGAACGTTATATGACCTTCGATGAAAGTCTTGATCCGCGCAATTTACGCGTGTTTCGCAGTCCTGGAAGAAGGACTGCGTGCCACTTTGATTTCAGATGCGCGAGCGTCTCTCAAAACTATAGCGGCCCTGAGTTTCGCCTTCGTCTAGCATCCTCTAGATAGAAGAGGAAACCGAGCAACGGAATGAGGGAGAGAGTAGAGGCAGCAGTTCATGGCAGCCTGGAAAGCAAACCATCCATCACGGATGGCTCAAAGCCGTATCTTCTAGACTGGTGCCCGACGGTACTGGATGCCGCAGCGTGGCCAAATATTGTGAAAGGTCCAGAAAAGGCAGCAACGTGAAATAAATTTGCTGCGCCGATGTAAGATGGAAGACGGCAAGGCAGAGGGTAGAGAGAGGAAGAGATGAAAGAGAAAGAGAGAGAGAGAGAGAGAGAGAGAGAGAGAGAGAGAGAGAGGAGAGAGGCAATAGAAAAAAGTGAGAACACTGGTTCCCTCCCTTCTGGTCAGCTCGAAACGTTGCGTCTTGTACTTGTGCGTGTCAAGATGGAGAGAGGAAGAAGGCTCTTTAACCACTGTCGGCTCTTTGAACCTTGCCGATCTCCCTCGCGTTCTCTTTTTCTCTCTCTTCTCTTCTATCTGCCTCTCTCTCTCTCTCTCTCTCTCTCTCTCTCTCTCTCTTTCTCCTTTCTTCTCTCTCATCTTTTCGTGTCGTCTCTGCTCAGCGTGCTATCATTTTCCTTCTCTTTCCATCCCTTTGTCTCTTTTG